TCTTCCAGTGATGATGCGGCCTCTGCTGATTCTCAGCAGCTCTGCATGTGAGGCCACCCCGGGTGTGACTCTCTCCCTCCACATCTGTCCCTCGGCTCCCTGAGACGCCACACACTTAAATCCGTCACGTGTGCTGAGGGGCCACCCCTGGCCAGGTCTGGGTCAGCCTGTACCTCACCAAGGCTGCCCTTTGACAGAAACTGGCTTTCTCATGGGATTCAAAGCCACAGCCTCTCAGTTGTTTTGAGGCCTGTGATTGGTCCAGGAAGGTTTTACCTGAGTGGGCTCTGAGACGGCCACAGACATGGAAGCCTGGATCTGCCCTGGGCAGAGATGGCAGTGCTGGAAGCAGACCAGTACCCCAGGGGGATGGACTGCTGCAGTCACTCTCCCTTTAACGCTAGGGGTCACTGCAATCAGCGTTTCAAAATAGCAGCTTGTTCTTTTCAAACCAGTAGGAACACTTAGCTGGAATGCACCTGGATTATTACTCAGTGGGCAGGTGTTTTCCACCCCCTCCTCAGTGCCAGGCCCTGCCCCGTGGGTGTGTAGAAACAGCTGCCAGGCCCTTCTTCACGCAGCTGACATGATGCCTATTCCTAAACCGAAACATGCAGCCCTGGGGGATTTGAGAACCGTATTTTAGTGAAAACGCACACAGATGATTTGGCATTCAGGGCCTGTGTCGCGGGGCGTGTTTGGCGAGTGTGTGAGAAGTGCGGCTGATCTGCCACATGGAGCTTTTAGCCACCCAGCAATCCGAGCGTCCTGAACGGAAATCCACGATGTTTTGTTGGCTACTTGAATGGATTCATGCATTCAAGATTGGCCAGTAAATAGCCTGTCACAGAAAGACAGCTGGGCTGGCATGCAAGAGCCAAATACACGCTTTCCCGAGGAGCAGCGCTAGGACTGGAAGAGGCTTTTTAACGGTTAAGCACAGTGAGCCACGGCTGACCCTGGCCTGGGAGAGCCCTGGATTTAAAGGACTTTTCAAAGACCACCCTTCAGTGTGTCAGTAACCCAGTGCTTGTTATAGCACTAGTCTTGCATGAGAGACCCCAGTGTGGAGAAAAATGCAAGGTTAAGAGAACTATGGAAGTATAGTAATTTACACAATTTTCGGGAAAATCGTGGTTAGGAACTTTAAAATCCATCTGTTCACTCGCGCGGCAGGTGGTCATTGAGGACATCCCCTGAGCTCCTGCAGTGGGGATTATAGGAGACACAACAGCATGGTTCTTGGGTTCCAGAAGCTGTCCGTCCAGCAGAAGGGGGAAGATATGGCTCATTCATTGACAGTGTGGCCTTGAGCAGAGGCATAATGTGTCCAGAGGCTGCAGGGGTCAGCTGTGGCTCCTGAGAGGCCATGCTGAGTTGGACCCTGGAGGGTGGAAATGGAAAGAAATCAGGACAGCTTGAGCCAAGAACCAGAGGCAAGAGCACAGGAGGTCAGTCCAGGGACTTCCCAGGAACTGGCCTAGCCTGACCGCGAAGCTTGAGCTTCCTGTGCTGTGAGGCCTGGGGTCCACTGGGAGCACACACTGAGGTGCCGTGTTAGGTGAGCTGATTCTGGGAGATGGCAGGGGCTCAGAGGACGTACACACGGGTTGTGCCCGTTCAGATAAGGCAGTGGGAAGTGGAAGGCCAGGAGATCTCTGAAGCAGAGAGTGCAGAGACAAGGGGATGACCGAGTTCTGAAGTGTGGCTGCCTACGTCCTTGGCATACTTACCTCTGAGCCTGTACTGCGGCCTCTCTGCAAGCCCATGTCCTTCCCACTGCCCTCTGTGGTAAATGACCGAACACGTGGAAGGCCAGCTGCTTAGGAAACCCCGGGAACAGGGTTGGTACTTAATAAATATTGGCTGACTACATGAGAGAATGAATTTCGTGTAACACAGAACTTCTGGAAAAACTTAGACCATGGTGCTCTTGCTTTGATTCCCCAGCCATCAAGTGCCCGGAGCTCTTGGCCCCAGAGCAGGGCAGCCTGGATTGTTCGGACGTTCGTGGGAAATTCACTGTTGGCGCCACCTCCCATTTCTCCTGCGACGAGGGCTTCCAGCTGGAGGGGACCGGCACCCTGCAATGCGTGGCTCCTGGGAGGTGGTCAGCACCTCCACCAGCCTGCAGAGGTGAGAAGACACACTTGCCTGACAGTTCTGCTTCGGAAATTCCCCACCACAGCCACAGCCACTTAGAGTCTTAGATGTGACAGGTGCCTGTCGTACAACTGCTTGGGCCTAGCAGACAGCCTATGGATGACGGCATTTCTAAGGAGAGACGGGGATTTTCACGATTGTGAATAAAATACATAGTGATTCTTAGCAGAAACTTTGGTTCATGTTTTTGGCCTCTTTCTCTTAAAGTGCTTGAAGCCCAAAAAGGGCTTCCTTCTCCACTGCCAGAGGAGAGTTGGAGCCATGGGGCCACTGGTCCCGCTGCGTGATTGATGAGCTGGGTGGAGAGGGCCACCCTCTCTCTTCCTGCCACACAAGGAGCTAGTGGCATCATTCACATCTCTCCTTTCAAGATGACCTCTGGCCAGAGGCCAGTACCACCCCATTAAGGCAGGGGTGGGAGGCGATTGGCCCATGCTATTTTTTTTTTTTTCTGGTATAGGGAATGTGCTCTTGCTGAAGACAGAGGGAGAGAGAGAGAGACAGAGACAGAGAGACAGAGAGACAGAGAGAAAGAGAAAACACCCCCCACGGGAGGCCTCTCTGCAATACCTTCTCCTTCATTCTCCTCTTGGGATTTGGGCATGCGTGCACACGTGCCTGACTTATTTTTCAAGTCGCTGGGCCCAGGACTTGAGCTGCACAATTGGTCATGTAGGATTCAGCTACCTTAACCTCTGAGTCACCTGCTGCCCCTATTTGGCTTTCTAGGATTTAATTTTCTTTCTTTCTTTCTATAGAGAGAGAGTGGAGGAGGGGGTGTTTCCTTGACAGGGTGTCTTCGTCGCAGTCCTTCAACACCAGCCTCCCTGTTGGCTAGGATTGTGGGGAGCCAAAGCTGGGCTCAGCCTTGCCCAGTGGCCCTGCCACTTGTGCCACTGCAGCTCGGTCTCTCGGGAAGTTCTTATGTTTCTGCACAAGCTCTTCTTTTTCTTCTTTCTAATATGTAACATCGAACCCCCACCACCACCACCCCTGTCCAGGAGAACTGCCCCTTCAAAGACACTTTTAAATAATTTTCCTGATTTTCCACATCTGAGAGTAATAGTTTTCTGTACTTCTTTAAATATATATAGCTAAAGACTCCCTTGTTATAAAAACAAAAACGAAAACAAAAACCTAGAAGGTTGTTAAACCATATCAGCCTTAATTCTGTTACGCTCCCTTTATTATTACTATTTTCTCACTTCAGAAATGGTTTCACTTTATGTGCAACTAATGGACAGACAGATGTTGTACCCATAAATTCTATTTTCCAAAAACAATTTGGATTTTTTTTTTAAAGAAAACCACACGACAAACTTAAAAAGATACTGGGATTCTTCTGCTTCTAGACCTGTGGATAGGCTAGGAAAATAAAGTTGATTTGGTATACGAAGAATTGCAAGCGAGCAGTGAGTCTTCTCCATGTGGAAATTGTATAATATCCTGTCATGATAGGCGGATACTTCAGTTCTCATCCTCAGCAACCACGACTACTTAGCAGAGCATTTAACCAGGTCGAGACTGAGAGGCTTAGCAGGCTTTGCTGCACAAGGCCACTATTCTCTTCTAAGATGCTAACAAACCAAAGCAGGAAATACTGAAATAAAAATAAAGGATATTAGATACGAGTTGTCATACAAATGATTAGTTCCTTATTGCATCTCCGTTAGATAAATTAATAAAGGGAATATTGTACTGGAAAAAAAACGATGTTATTTTACATGTAGTCTTATCTTTGTTATTATATACATGCTGCCTAGTGTCATCATACAAAAGGCACAACCATTTCATGTCCACAGTTGACTTCTGTATTTATGAGCAGAATATTCGTGATTTGCATACGCACCTCCGTCAGTGAAGATTTAGCAGTGAGACAATCTAACCTGTAGAATGTGTCGTGTTTTGTAGACAGCGATGTAGGAGAGATGGACTTTTAATCACCTTTCACTTGAGTGACTTTATGTAAAAGAAAAAAGTCAATAGTTTAGGAGTTTTAAGTCTCCAAAGGAGATGGTCACAGGCACACACAGAAACGGGCACGTGGGGCAGTCAAGAAGCGCGTCCACACCCACACCCAGTGATTGCGGGGCTGGTTCTTCCCAGCTGCTCCCCTTTGCCTGCAAGAGGAGCCGGATAAGATGAAAGTTTTGCTGGACTTCTTTGACACTCTCAACTTTCTGTCGCTCTTTCCATTTCTTCAATCTGTTCATGATAAATTTAGCTTGGCATCGCTCTTGATCTGTTCATCGTCTTCTTTATATCAGTGGTTTCATTCTACAGGTTCATTTCTACGTTGAAAAATTCAAATGACTTATCCATGGAAAGACCTCTACCAGTTGCTTTCCAGAATGCTCTGGTCCACGTGATCTTGCAAGGATGACACTTCTTGTTTCTTAAGATTTTTCTTCCCGGGAACCAGCAGTTAGCGTAATGGCTATGTCGCTGGACTCCCACGTAGTCGACCGCGGTTTGAGTCCCGGACCCGGGGGCTTAAAACCCACGCCGGGCGTGTGTGCGTGCATGCCAAGATCCCAAGAGGAGAATGGAGGAGAAGGGATTGCAGCGTGGCCATCCCTTCTGGGGGGTGATTTCTCGCTTTCTGTCTCTCTGTCTCTCTCTGTCTGTCTGGCGAGTGCACGTGCCCTATAGTGAAAAATCTCTCAAAAAAAAAAAAGATTTTTTTCCCCATAGGGTGTGTATGCCTTCAGGAGAGAGACAGAGACAGAAAGTAAGAAGTCACCCCCCCATATTCAAGCTGCCAGGTCACGACTGAAACTGTGGTTGGTCATGTAGGACCCCAGGGGCTTAACAACCACATCACCTGCTGGCTCCAACACTCCTAAAAGTTTTATGGCATTCGGGTTAATAGAATCTGAACACTTTGCAATCGTGAATGAGCACCGTGCCGTGGCCAGGATAGCTAGGCCCTGAGCAGAAGCAGCACGTCTCGGTTTGCATGTTTAATCTGTGTGGGTGCCCACTGACCACACGCCAGCTCAAGAGGAAGTGAAGTAAGCCTGGGCTTCCTTTAATGGGGGGCTGTCTAAGTTAGGGCATTTTCTCCTGCAGGCCTCTCATGGGTTCCGACTCCGGAGGTGCGATGCCCCGCTCTCCTCACTCCTGGGCAGGGATCCATGTCCTGCAGACACCATTTGGGAAACTTTGGTTTGAATACCACTTGTCACTTTGGGTGCCACGCCGGCTTCACCCTTCTGGGAGACAAGATTCTCAGATGCAGACCTTCAGGACGGTGGACAGCGGTGACTCCAGAATGCAGAGGTAATTTGAACCGCACAGGCTGGTCCAATTCCACCTTCCTGCAGGGACTCAAGCTAGCACTGTGCCTGCCTGTGGACATCCCCCGCCAACCCCACAACTACCGCAGTGTCAGCTCCCCCTGAAACCCACACCAATCCCAGTCGGAACAAGTGTGAGCGGGCACTTCACCCCTGCCCTTCCTCGTGTCACAGCTAGGGCCCCGGCACTCAAAGGCCTGCAGGAGGGAGCATCTGATGATGCCCCAGTTGTGCTAGACTGGCAAGCCCGGGTCGAACTGAGAAATACGAGCTGTAACTCTGGTGGTTACGAGCAGTCTGAACACCCCATATTGTCGTAGTCAAATACTGGCCTGCCAGCTAGTCACAGATACAGCCACAATGACATCTACAGCAGTAGCACTGCGTTGTTGGGGAAGTCATGATATTTTTTTTCTATTTTTCGATGCAAAACTTCATACTGACTTTTCCAACAACCCAACAGTATTTTTGAAGACGAAATCCATCCATGAGCAAGCAGGTCTTTGCCGGATGCGGTTCTGCCTTTCCTAGGCCCTGTGCTGCCATTCCTCACCTAGGTACTTCTCCGTGTGTGAGACGTTGGAGGAGCTGGCGGGCACGTATCCATGGAAAGACCTCTACCAGTTGCTTTCCAGAATGCTCTGGTCCACGTGATCTTGCAAGGATGACACTTCTTGTTTCTTAAGATTTTTCTTCCCGGGAACCAGCAGTTAGCGTAATGGCTATGTCGCTGGACTCCCACGTAGTCGACCGCGGTTTGAGTCCCGGACCCGGGGGCTTAAAACACACGCCGGGCGTGTGTGCGTGCATGCCAAGATCCCAAGAGGAGACTGGAG